TCTCTCTCTCTCCCTCTCTTATGTTTTTTTTTTTTTTTGAGACTGAGTTTCCCTCTTGTCACCCAGGCCAGAGTACAATGCTGTGAACCCGGCTGACTGCAACATCTGCCTCCCAGGTTCAAGTAATTCTCCAGCCTCAGCCACCTGAGTAGCTGGGATTACAGGCACCCACCACCACGCCCAGCTAATTTTTGTATTTTTAGTAGAGACGGGGTTTCACCATGTTGGCCAGGCTGTTCTCAAACTTCTGACCTCAGGTGATCCGCCTGCATCCGCCTACCATACTGCTGGGATTACGAGCGTGAGCCACCACCCATACCTCAATTATTTTATCTAGGAGAAATTATTTCTCTCATGTTAACCTCAGAATAATTACTCTTATGGTTTTTCTAACCATAAAAGGATTTCATCACCTCCTAAACACAATTAGAAAGTCAGACTAAATCGGCCAGGTGTGGTGGCTCACACCTGTAATCTCGGCACTTTGGGAGTTTGAGGCGGGCAGGTCTTGATCAAACTCTTGATCAAGAGTTCAAGAGCAGACTGACCAACACGGTGAAATGCCATCTCTATTAAAAATACAAAAATTAATTGGGTGTGGTGGTGGGCGCCTATACTGCCAGCTACTCAGGAGGCTGAGGGCAGGAGAATTGCTTGAACCCAGGAGGCAGAGGTTGCAATGAGCCGAGATCACGTCACTGTTCTCCAGCCTGGGTAAAAGAGCGAGACTCCATCTCAAAAAGAAAAAAAAAGAAAGAAAGAAAGAAAAGAAAATCATCCTACACCAGCTCCACATATGGCAGTATCCTGATTCGTTCAGCTTTTATCAAACCCATCACATTAAACTATCAATCAAAGCTAACAGTGGCCAACGTTCAGTGACTCGGTTTTTAGAGCTACACCGGCTCCTCGGAACTGGGTCTATTCCTAGGCCACTACTACGCTACCTTACAGTAAACCATTTGAGTTTTAAGCATTTTCAGCAAAATTATTCACTTCTTTTTACAGTAACATAGATAGATTGTAGAGAGACACAAACTTTGAAACAAGACACAAATTTTGCATTCACCAGTCAACTCATCTTCGATAAAACCCAATCCCCGAGCCTGTATTCTCTTATTCATAACGTGGACACGTTTCACCATAGTGAGGGGTTTACCTAAGCTAAGCTGCAAACTATATACCCTCCTCACTTTTCCAGTCCATTTCAGGCATTCTTTTCATTGTATTCTTTCCTCCTGTTCCTGCTATGTGGCAATGCATGAGACAAGCACCCCCCCCAAAACCCCCCACCACACCCCACCTCACCCCCGGCAACAGGCATTCTTCCCTTTCCCTTCCCCTTGACCTGCAGATGCTCCCTTGTCCTCTCCCTCCTGAGCAGGTGCAGGATCCTGACTTTCAGCGGTTGGTTCCCCTTCTTCAGGTTTCGATGGTTCCACTTCTTTATCACTGAACTGCTCAGGCTAGGGAAAGTGTGTGTGTGTGTGTGTGTGTGTG